AACCAAATACTACTGCTATATAACAAACAAATAAACAAACACTCAGACAACTGTGCCCACCCCCAGAAAAATACCATAGCAATATTATGAATGGTAATGGCATTCTGCTGTTTTCATATATGAATACCTTGCTTAACCATCATCAGAGAATCTTCCTCTTACAACAGATAGGAACAAATATAGATACCCACAACTCACACAAGTGGCCCTAATTAATTTCAGAAGGTAAAATATCAACAAAAAGACATGAAAGCAGGAGGGAGAATTGCTGGAAAGAAGGGTTTCAGTAGGAGGTGGAATAAAAGAGGTGGAATAAAATTATATGTTAATATATGTACTGTTTGATGATAATTATATATATACATCAAATATTTAAATTATCATATATTTCTAAGATAAAGATGTAAATGGAAACACTAATTTGGTTAAACATTTGATATTAGTAATCATTTTGTAAAATGTAGCATGAAGATATGCATTATACATTTCATAGTTTTGTATCAAGGAATCATAGATTAGCGTCTTATAGGAAAGATGAATATTAAAACATGGATTTATCAGTGGCTCTCTTCCAAACACAAACGAAGGCTTTGGAATTCATGGGACCCTGCAAAGACAGATTGATTTTAAACTGCAGGTCCTTGGGCTGAGTTAGAATTTTAGAGCTTTGGACACCAGGAGAGTCCATGGAGAAGTAATAACATCAACCAATGATTCACCTGATAACAGCTAGGTGTCTAGGGGAAATGGAATCAGCAGGAAAGAAATTGGTTTCTATGAAGAGCCACAGCCCTTGGGGAAATGATTGGCTGCATGGTGGAATAATGAGATGGAAATGTACCTAATGAGCAGATATGCATAGCTGTAAATACTGCCCCTGCTATAGTCCCATCGTGTATGCAGTTGAGGATTGTACATTGCATTGTTACTTCCTTTAATGCCCTCAACATTTCAGGGTCTGATGACTGTCTCCCTGCCATCTAATTACACAGTGTCAGTCCTCTGTCAGCCTTCAACGGGGCAAATTGTTCTTACACACAGAAACTTTCTGTTTAGACAACTCATCCAGGTGAGTCTCAAAGTCACCACAGCAAAGATTATGAGGGACAGAAGACAAGATCATTTGCTTAAAATCTTCTGAAAGCCAGTCCAGCCAAGCTGATCTGAGGGATGGCTCAGAGTTGGTTGTGAATGTTTTCTTGCTTCTTCCAGGAAATCACCAATTCGTGTAATTGATATGCTAGGATCAGAAGTAAACCTTCAGGTCAGCTATTCAAGATTATTGTTGACTGTGAAGTGGTAGCAATGGAAGCCAATTAAAATGAGAGTAGAGGGGCTTGAGGGGATTTTATGTAAGCAGGGCATAGGTCAGGGGTCCTTGAAGTTCATTAAGGGGACAGGAGAAATTACGTATTACATATGGTGAGTAGGAGGAGGAAGTTCATGCATTACTTATTTCTGAGTTCCATTACTTCTCTGAGTTTCTTAGTATTATTCTCCTATAACTATTTCCTACTTATAAGCATATCAGTAGAATTTTTGTTTTTTATTCCTTATATATTTTTGGAATTGCTAGATATTTATGGTTATACATATTAAAACAATTTCTTAAGTGAAATATGTCTATGTTTTTTTCTCCTGAGTTTCTCATCTCAGGCAGCCCACCGATGAACTTTAGCTTTCCTTTCACTATTCAAGGTTTTAAAACTCAGCTAAAATGTGTTCTTGCCATGTGCTAAATGTCCACAAATAGCATTGTCACTGTGTATAACCAAGTGGCTTCAGTGGGGCAAAATATTAGAGGACAATTGTTCATTGAGTCTTTTAGTGTAGGTTATTGCTAAGTAATAGATAGATAGATGGATAGATAGATGATAGATACATAGGTAGGTAGATAGATAGATAGATGATAGATACATAGGTAGGTAGATAGGTAGGTAGATGATAGATGATAGGTAGATAGGTTGTAGGTAGGTAGGTAGATAGGTAGTTGGGTACGTAGATAGATGATAGGTAGGTAGGTAGGTAGATAGATGGATGGATGAGTGGATAGATAGATCACACTCAGTTATTGGTTTTTATTTTTATTTAATTCTTGATGATGAATACAAATCTATAAAATAAAATTGTAACTTTCACTTTCTCTACAGCCGCTGACATTCCTTGTATACCATAAATTTTAATTTTCTTTTAGACTTTGTTGTTGTTCTATAAACGCATACATATTCTCTACCACTGTGAAAGTGCAAAAGTGCACAAAGCAGGTGAGGTCTACTCACATAGCTCTCACATCTGAATGTGAAGATTCAGCAGACAGAGTGTTCAATGTGATGGCAGAAGGGAATAGTCACACAGAGAATTGAATTAGGTGTGAAGGAGAAGTTTCCTGGTGAATGCAGGACTTCAGAGAACATGTTGTTGGGAGGTTTTTGCATGTTGGAGGAAACAAAAGGCAGAACTGCAATAGGCTTATTGGATTTTGCAAAGATTTCAAAACTGAAAGTTTCAGAATAACACAGGAAAAAGGTCCATACTGTGACTGGGGCAAAAAGCACGTGATATTAACAGGAGACTAAGAATCCCATGAGATCATGAGACTATGTTTTGTGACTTGTTTTCAACAAGCGGGTGCACTGGTGTATGTGTGTGCTGTGCTGTGTGTGTGTGTGTGTGTGTGTGTGTGTGTGTGTGTGTGTGTGTGTGTGTTTTCTATTAGGCTGTGGGGGTAGGTGTAGATTTGATAGGACAAGGGTTGCTGAATATATTCCAAAATGAGACACATATTATAGAGGGCAGAACACATTCAAAACGTGACACATGTAAATAACAAAAAGGCAATTTCAACCGCATGAAGGTGCAAATTAAACTAGTGATCAGAGTAAATACTGGTATCTTCATGTTTCAGCAGCAGCTAGGGTATTTTGTTTCTCATTATTTTCCCCTGCCACAAGTTTTGATTGCATGTTATGTTTAAAGACTCTATTTTAAAATTTTCATACAATGTATTTTGTTACTATTCTCCCCCCCCCGCCCCCATATACTTACCCCCTTTCTACATACCCAACTCCATGCATTTTGCCTTCTTCCATTATCTTGGCCATAAGTTTAATAATATTCTGCAATGTCTTCCTTGTTCTTTTAGGGTTTTGTTTCTTCAGAGAAATGCATCACCATTTGTGTTGCAGGGCATGTGGAATGACAAGACACTGGATCTTGGTTGCTTTGGTCCTGATCTTCTTACCGTCCTTCTTTAATGCCTTTCTATGAACCTAATAGTAGATACCATCTTCTTTAGAGATGTTGAAAGGTTTTGGATTCTTCTACCCCTTTTGAGTCCCAACTGCTAAGGCAGAGCCTGATTTCTCATACCAGAACCACCTGGGCATGGGGTTAGCCCACCCATATCAGTGACCAATCAAGAGAATGTGCCACAAGCTTGCCCACAGGTGAATCTTACAGAGGCATTTTTACAATTAATCTTCTCTCTTCCCAGAAATGTCAAGGTTTGTTTCAAGTTGGAAAAAGTTCAACCATCACAAGGGTTAAGGTTTAAGTATTTCAATACATAACTTTTCAATAAAGCTGAGAGTGAGTGAATATTTCCACCTCAGAGAAGGCTAGGGTGCCAGGAGCCTTACTGCAGATGTGTTAGATGATCTAGGACAGATGTGTGGAGTTAGCACAATGAAGAAACTGTGACCACCTGTGTTCAAACAAGTGTTCTTGAATAGTCTGGGCTGTTTTTATACACTTTTGTTGGTTTGCTTGAACAGTTTTACAATCAGATTTGTTTCCTTAAGTTTCTAGAAATGGTTACTACAATTACGTTCGTTTTTTTTCCTTCTTTCACCCCCGCTCCCCCTACTTTCCCACTGGTAACCATTACCTATTTGATCTAGAGCGCAAACCTTAGAAACACAAGCAGTGTTGCAAGCGACAAAGGAAGTTTTCTAACTAGGCACACTTACAGATAGAACAGTTGGCAGCATTTGTGGATACAGCATCATGCAGAGTGGAAGATAGTTTTATCTCTAGTGGTTAATATTTACATCTGGTAAGGTCTGGATTCTCACAATCCACTTACCAGCCAAAGCTGGATCAAGTCATTATACTTTCTGTACTACTCCATCTCCTCTGGGGATATACCAAGGTTTTCCATTTATCCTATAGACAGCATAACTTGGAAGCTTACTCTTAATAGTTTATCCCTTAAATGTATATCCCTTGTCCGTATATCCATCTATCTTAACTTCTCACAGTATTGGTACAGTTATTAGAAACGAGAGAACTGTGGATTTCTATGATTCTATTTCATTACCTGTCTCTAGATTGTTCCTATTAACTCCTGATATCATCTCTTTTTAGCATTTCTCCAAAGTGCCTGTGGTTAAAATTATTCTTCCCAGGGCAGTTGTGCAAATATGTAATATTAAACTTATGAGCTACTGTGGCTCTTTTAGGCTAGTTACAGGGTGCATTGGAAAGGCACCATCCTTTTTCTTAAAAAGCCTGAATTCATGATCACATTTGAAACATCAAAGGTTTTAGGGACTGAATCAGGTCCACTGTGTATTTTTAGCAACATTCCCTTTGACTGACTCAGATGAGAGTCATCAGGAGGAAGTTTTCCTTTTGTAATATCTATTTTATCTGTGACTAAGAAAGTGAAATTAAAGGTAGCCAGAAATATGGCTTGTATAGCAAAAGCAAGGAGAGAACTTAGTGCATATGCCCCTGGAGTCAAGTCCAGAATTATGTAGCAAACTGTCCACAGGCTTTGCCAAATGGGCTAGATTCTCCAGGGCCTTGCCTTATTACTCAAACTCACATGGCTCCCACCACTAAAGGGAGAACTATGCAAAAATTAAACACACATGAAAAACTGAAGAATTCAGGGCTTGACTAATATGATATTGTTTCTATATAGTTACATAATTTCATCATTACATTTTCTCTGTTTTTTGTTTTATTTTGCTTTAATTTTTAGTAACATAAATGACATGGAGCTAGAGAATGACACACAAATTTCACAATTTCTTCTTCTGGGAATTTCAGAAGACCCAAGGTTGCAGCCTGTCCTCTTTGGACTGTTTCTTGCCATGTACCTGGTCACTGTGCTTGGGAACCTACTCATCATCCTGATCACGATCTCAGAATCTCATCTACACACGCCCATGTACTTCTTCCTCTCCAACTTGTCATTTGTGGACATCTGTTTCACCTCCACCACTGTACCAAAGATGCTAGTAAACCTCCAGTCACATTATAAGTTCATAATGTACACAGACTGCATCACTCAAATGCTTTCCTTCATATTCTTTTCAGGACTGGACATCTTTCTGCTAACCATAATGGCTTATGATCGATATGTGGCCATTTGTCACCCCTTACATTACACAGTCATCATGAATCCCAGACTCTGTGTGATGATGGTTGTGGTGTCCTGGATAGTAAATGTTCTGCATGTCTCATCACAAGGCTTCATGGTGCTACAGTTATCCTTCTGCACAGAATTGAAAATTCATCACTTTTTCTGTGAGCTGAATCAGGTGTTACAACTCACCTGTTCCGACAACTTTGTTACTGTCCTTGTCATGTATCTTTTACCTGTGTTGTTGGCAGCTGGATCCCTCATTGCCATCCTCTGTTCTTACTATGAAATACTTTCCTGCATACGTGCCATCTCATCAGCTCAAGGGAAATACAAAGCATTTTCCACGTGTGCATCTCACCTCTCTGTTGTCTCTTTATTTTATTGCACAGGAATAGGTCTATATCTGAGCTCTGTTGTAACAGAAAATTCGCAGTCCACTGCCAGAGCCTCAGTTTTGTACAGTGTTGTCACTCCTATGTTGAACCCATTCATCTATTGTCTGAGGAATAAAGACATAAAAAGTGCTGTGAAAAAGTTTTTGAGATAGAAACAAAATCACACCTGTTGAGTCTCAAACAACAACAACAACAACAACAACCCATGAATGTAGGATTCAGACCCTCAGGTCATATCTGAGATACATTGTTCTGATTGTGGAAGTAGAATATACTCCTTCTACTATGTTCTTGGAAGCTCTCTGAATATGACTTCACTATTCAATTTAAAGTCTTATTTATTATTATTTTTTATTATCACTGAAATATCCAACCTTCTGCATATCTCATTTTCTACATTTTTCTAAGAAATACTTAAAATTTTCAATTATCTGATACCACGTTTAAGTATAATTTATTTCAAATGACATATATAACAAGTAAACTTTCACTTCTTTAAAATAGTAATAAATTTTATTACCATTAAGAAAAACCATACTTGGCACACAAAGCTCCATATATATTTATGGTGAAGGAAAATCACAAACTATGGTTTTTCAATATGCATTCTTCATCTCATAGTGTATGATTAGCTAATTGCCCTTTCTTGTGATATAACATTAGTACATTATGGCTGGAAGTTATATTTTATTCTTACATTTAAAAATCATGTTTCTATTTCAGCTCATTGTCCTGTATATACCATAGTCTTATCCAATCCAGTGTTTGAAATCTTAGCTGTAACAATGAGATAAAATATAATAGGGGTAAAAAAGGGAAATGAAGAAGTCACACTATTCCTCTTTGCAGATGACATGTTTCTATACTTAATAGAACCTCAGACACTATAGGAAAACTTATTTTATATCTAATATATATGTCTAGTAAAGGAACAGGATAAAAAATCAAAGTAAAATTCAGTAGCTTCTATATACACCAATAAAGAACTTGGGTGAGCAACAAATTGGGGAGAAATATCACATTCGTGATATGTACAAAAATAAAGTACCTAGTAATAATCATAACCAAAGAAGAGAAAGACCTTTAGAACAAAAACTTTAAGACATGAAAAAAGAAAATAGAGATGATAGTGAGACCTTCCATGATCTAGGATTGGCAGAATTAATATTGTGAATATTGCCAAAATCTAACATAATTCCCATCAAAATTCCAGTACCATACTTCAGAGAGATAGAAAATATTCAAATCCATATGGAAACACAAAGAGTCACACAGACAAAACTATTCTAAACAGAATGGATAAATGTATCCAAATAGAAACTTCAGCCTATACTATAAAGCCATAGTGAAAGAGATAGCATTGTACTGCCATAAAATATACATGTAGAACAATGAAACAGTGCAGTGGTTTAAATGAGAATGTGCTCATAGGCTCTGACATTTGAACATTTTATTACCATTTGATGATGCTGTTTGAGGAGGCTTAGGAGGTATGGCCTTGCTGGAGGAAGCTTCCATTCATTGGGGGTAAGCCCCAAGGTTTAAAAGCCTTGGCCATTCCTAATTATTTCTCTCTGTTTCCTGTCTCTCTATTTCCTACTCATTGTTTAGGATATGAACACTCTGCTTCTGTTCCTGATGCAATGCCTGCCACTTGCTCCCTTCATGGACTCTTAAATAATCTGGGATGATAAGGCAAATAAAACCTTTCTTTTACATTGTCTTGGCCATGCAGTTTATTATAGCAATAGAAAAGTAACTAATATAAGCAGAATAGAGGGCTGAGAAATGAACCCACATGGATATGGCAAGAACATTTGAAGCATGAACTGTTAATAGTGATAGAATACTGTCACAATTACTGTGGCTTCCTATGTGTAACTGTGTATGTTGTTCAGCAAATATCACTCCTTTATACTCACAAACAGCCTCTAGATTTTATGGTCTTTATGGCCCCTCTTCCATGAAGATCTCTGGGACATTGGAGGAGGGCATATAATGTAGATGACACATTTAGAGCTGAACATGCTTCAGCCTCTTAATCTCTGTTCCCTGACCAGTTGAAGATCTTTGGTTCATTGCCATCTACTGCAAAAATCTAAGCTTCTCTAATGAGGGTTGAGGGATGCTCTAGTATATATGGGTTCAGTGAGAAGTTCTTCCTTCCCAAAATCAACCCTACAGAATTCCAGCGTGGAGGTGAGGGTATACATGATGTCTAACCCTTAGCTAAGGAGGTATTAGGAAGGAGATGGAGAGTCATATTTCTTTAATGGTGTTACTCTGATGGGGCAACCATGCTCCAGAGGATGGCCACATACCCATGAGTATAAGTGTAGCACAAATTAGATTTGATAGATTATTTTTTAAAAGAGAACACAAATTAGGGTGGGTAGAGCTGTGATTGCAGATATAGGAGGAGTTTGGGGACATGGTGAATATGATACATCATATGAAATACACAAAGAACTAATTTTTTTAAGAAGAAAAAGATGAGAAGTCTACTCAACAAATGGTGCTGGCAAAGCATGATATCCACCTGGAGAATAATGAAATTAAATCTATGTCGCTTAACTATATAAGTTATGTCAAAATGAACCAAATCTACAAGCTGAAGTTATGAAACTGCCAGAAAAAATTATAGGCAGGATACCTCAAGATGCAAGTATGTGAATCACATAAGTGCTGTGGCAGTTAAGCATTTTGCAGAGGCCTCAGGGGAAGTTCAGGGACCATATTTGACATGATTTAGACCCACAGACACAGAGGAAGCTCCATTTTCCCCAGCAACCTCAGTAGTAGTCAAAGACACAGTGTGGGCCAATTCTGAGTATGCATAAAGCATATTGGTCCTTTGAATTTCCCACATCTTGTAGCAGTTTCAGAAGCTGTGGGCTCAGTGTGGGGATGGGTAAGACCCATGGGGGGTGTGGTGATCTCCATTGCTCACAACATAAGCTGCATAAACAGACAGCAGGCATGAGCTGAAACAGGCCAACACATGATCCACAGAGGAAAGCCTAAAATAGAACTTTTACCTCTAAATACTAGTCCCAAAGAAAAATGACACTTCAACCCTAAGTATAAGTTAGAACTCTAAAAGCATTGCAAACTCCAACACTGAAATACAAGAAGAGTTGAATTTGCAAAATAAAGTAAACAAAAGACAGAAAGATCTCATCCATTTCTCTATCGTTGGGTTATCCCCATGTCTTTCTTAGGGTCTTGTTTTCTAGGTAGCCTCCCTAGAGTTGTGAGTAGCAGTCTAGTCATCCTTTGTTTTACATCTAGTATCCTCCTATGAGTGAGTACATATCATGTTTGTCTTTCTGAGTCTGGGCTACCTCACTCAGGATGATTTTTTTCTAGATCCATCCATTTGCCTGCAAACCTCATGATGTCATTGTTTTTCTCTGCTGAGTAGTACTCTATTGTGTATATGTACGACATTTTATTTATCCAATCTTCAGTTGAAGAGCATCTAGGTTATTTCCAGGTTCTGGCTATTACAAATAATGCTGCTATGAACATAGCTGAACATGTGCCCTTGTGGTATGATTGAGCATTCCTTGGGAATATTCCTGAGTGGTATAGCTGAGTCTTGGGGGAGATTGATTCCCAATTTTCTAAGAAAGCAACATATTGATTTCCAAAGTGGCTGTACAAGCTTGCATTCCCACCAACAATGGAGGAGAGTTCTCCTTGCTCCACATCCTCTCCAGCATAAGCTGTCTTCAGTGTTTTTGATCTTAGCCAATCTGACAGGTGTAAGGTGGTATCTCAGAGTTGTTTTGATTTGTATTTCCCTGATGGTTAGGGATGTTGAGCAATTCCTTAAATGTCTTTCAGCCGTTTGAGCTTCCTCTGTTGAGAATTCTCTGTTTAGCTCTATAGCCCATTTCTCAATTGGACTGTTGGGCATTTTGATGTCTAATTTTTTGAGTTCTTTATATATTCTGGAGCAAACTGGACATGAGGGTAGGTAAAGAAGGGCAAGGTTTGAGGGAAAGAGAGCTAAGGGGAGTGGGAGATCCCAGCTGAATCAAGAACAGAGAGGGAGTGTAGCTAGAGTTTTCCTGCTTTGCCCACAGTCAGGACAAATCTTTGTCACCCGCCAGTCCCACAGCTGCTCAGACCCAACCAAGTAAACATAGAGACTTATATTGCTTACAAACTGTATGACCATGGCAGGCTTCTTGCTAACTGTTCTTATATCTTAAATTAACCCATTTCTATAAATCTACACCTTGCCACGTCTCTTGTGGCTTACCGGCGTCTTTACATGTTGCTTGTCCTGGTGGTGGCTGCAGTGTCTCTCTGCCTCAGCCTTCTGCTTCCCAGAATTCTCCTCTCTCCTTGTCCCACCTACTTCCTGCCTGGCCACTGGCCAATCAGTGTTTTATTTATTGACCAATCAGAGCAATTTGACATACAGACCATCCCAACAGCAAGGGAGAACAAGGAAAAAGAGTCCATGATAAATGAATACCTCATGGGAATAGGAAGAAGCAAAGTGCTAGAGAGGTCCCCAAAAATCCACAAAGATACTCCCACAATAGACTACTGGCAATGGTCGAGAGAAAGCCCAAACTGGCCTACTCTGGCGATCTGATGGCCAAACACCCTAACTGTCCTGCTAGAACTTTTATCCAATGACTGATGGAAGCAGATGCAGAGATCCACAGCTAGGCCCCAGGTGGAGCTCTGGGAGTCCAATCGGCGAGAAAAAGGAGGGATTGTATGAGTGAAAATTGTTGAGATCATGATTGGAAAAAGCACAGGAACAAATAGCCAAACTAGTGGAAACACATGTCTAATGTGTTCTGCACAAACCGATAACAAAGTTCTATTCTTGAAGACCACACCAACACAATTCATTGAACGTGGAGAAGTGGAGTAGGTGCCTTTATAAAGCCTTTTATCCCTACATGCTGAGTCTTTGTTACAGGATGGTACTCTGCATCCTACTAAAGGAGAAGCATATACCCCAACCCAGCTACAAACCTTTTGCTCTAGAATAGTGTCCTGCCTTCAAGATATGTTAGTGCAATAATGGCACAAAGCTTGGGATAGCAATCAACCAATATCTGACTTATCTTAAGGTCCACTCCATAAGATGGAACCAATACCCAACACTATGCTGGTAACCAAG